AACGAAATTGTGGTAAGGAAGCGTGAAGCAGGCAGATGCCGGGAATAAATAACTAGGCAACAATGATATCGACTGCCTACCGAAACGAGGTAAGCTCCGCAAAGTGTATGTACATCTGTACTTGCTTCCAGATACCGTAAACTCACCTGGGAAATCAAACGTTTCTCGTTGGCCACTTGATAAAAGCTGCGTGGAAAGGTCTGTGGGATAATTGTGTTACATCGAGGCGGAGAAAAATTGCGAAACTAAAAGTAGATGCTTCATATTGTTGCCGTGTTGGTCACGGGTATACCTTGATCCTCTTATTTCTCGAATATATACCAAATTCGAACATAAAAATGCTGAAGAACTGAACATAGAACGTATAAACAGCAATAGCTGAAGTTTTCACCAAACTTATCCTTAAATTTTTATCGACCATAATTAAATAAATCAAAATAGAGTGAAAAATTTTCCATACTAGTTTTACATCTTCTCTTACCTAGATTTTGAAAATTCCAAGTCACCAAAGGAATGACGAGAAGTCTTAATGATAAATAACTTTTGTTCTTTAAATATTTTTGAATCCATACCTTGATTATAATTTATTCAATTCGCTCCAATTACCCCAGCAATCTCTCGGAATAATCGATTAAGATTGTCCGTAAATTCTGAGACGTGAGGTATTGAAATATTTAAGTATTTTAAATTGTACATCTTGGATGAAATATTCGAGACAGTCGATCATGAAATTTACACGGGAGAAAAATTATTCTCCAAGGATAGTGCTCGAGATCGATCAGGTACGAGTCCCCACAGTGGTTTAAAATTCACGAGACCTGTGCGATCCGGAGCCGGTACGCAAGTCTACGTTGTACCTAGCAAGGCTGCTTCGGGGTCCAGTTTTTACGAGGAGGATACATCTTCGTGACTTGTATCGCATCTTCGCGAAGTATTTGATTCCCGAGGTCGTGGGTTCAGTGGCCGGTTGCGAGATTCTCGTGGCCAGAACTATTTCTCACAAGATCGAGCTGTGCACTTTTTACGACAAGCTTAGTTGCAACCCGCGGTGTACAACTCGCAATATAGATGTCCAGCTACTGCTTACGCCTAACCTTGCAACTCTGTCTTCCTCGACAGAGGTTACAGACCTGGTTACCTTATCCCTTTGAACTATCTTTCTCGGACATACAAAGATTCCACGAATATCGTGTCTGCGCAAAGTTATCATCGATGTAATTGATAACAAGAATTCGTTTAAAGTGTATCTCGTCGACTGACTATCTCTGAATATATTTACGATGATATGAAATACATCTGTTACTTAAAGTATTATGGAGAATGGGGAATTATGGGGAAAAAATTGAAAAAATTAGGAGAGAATAGCCCAAAGTATGTTGAATTTTTATTATTCATCGACTTTTCAAACGTGCATCAAGCATCTTCATTTCTTTTTCATAGAAATGAAATGTTCGTATCGCGAAATTTCCATATTCCAAGTTTGGATGAACCTGAAACCTCGGATGAGCCTGAGATGTTAAATTACATTGAAACATCAATAATCGAGTAACTGACTATTTTTATTACGTCTCGGAATTACCATTTAAATTAGTGATACGTAGAATACCAAAATAAAAGTTTTCTATGCTTCAATTTATATACCATTGCTTTCCATATTAAGGTCAAAAATGTCACTGACTTCGTACCAGAAGAGCTTCACCGCTTTTGTATAAGTAAAGCGATCTTCGAGAGCAAAGGGTCGAGAACTAAAATGTTCTTGAAATATGAATTAACCCAAATTGAACTTGCATAGAGCAGATGGACATTTCGTTTTCTTTTTACAATCATAGCCAGCGATGCTAGACACATTTTCGTTAAGAATAATAGAGAAATTAAAAATTAAATTTAAATTAACATAATAAAGACTTGGGCATGCATGAATCAAAGAATAGATAGGAAAATTCGCCATATCACACAAGAAACGAATATCAAATCATCCCAACGAACACATCAAGGATCTAAATTATGTATCACAACACAGAAGACTGAAAAGGAATAAACAAACCGATTTGTGGAATTAAATTAAAGAAGGAACATCACATATTCTGTTAGCGGCAACACTACAGAGCGTTTGCCACATGCAAGCCATATATTTAATTCATCAAATTTGCTGGTTACTTCAATGAAGCTAGTTGTAGATGTAATTTAGTATTAATAAAAAAAAAATTAAAATAATGGTACGTAGAATATCAAAATAAAATATTTCTATGCTTCAATTTATATACCATTCCTTTCCATATTATGGTCAAAAATGGCACCGAGTTCGTATCAAAAGAGCTTTACCACTATACTTCTCCATAGTAAAATAATTTTTGGGAGCAAAGGATCGAGAACCAAAAAATTCTTGGAACATGAATTAACCCAAATTTTTCAATCATAGCCAGAGATATTAGTCACGTTTTCATTAAAAATAATAGAGAAATTAAAACCTTTCTATGCTTCAATTTATACACTATTCCTTTCTATATTATGGTCGAAAATTGCACCGAGTTCGTATCAAAAGAGCTTCACCACTATACTTCTCCATAGCAAAATGATCTTCGAGAACAAAGGATCGAGAACCAAAAATTCTTGGAACATGAATTAACCCAAATTTTTCAATCATAGCCAGTGATATTAGACACGTTTTCATTAAAAATAATAGGGAAATTAAAACCTTTCTATGCTTCAATTTATACACCATCCCTTTCCATATTATGGTAAAAAATAGCACTGACTTGCTATCAAAAGAGCTTCACCACTGTACTTCTCCATAGCAAAATGATCTTCGAGAACAAAGGGTCGAGAACCAAAAAATTCTTGGATCATGAATTAACCCAAATTGAAGTTGCACAGTGCAAACAGACATTTCGTTTTCTTTTTTCAATCATAGCCAGCGATGCTAGACACGTTTTCTTTAACGGGAAGCATATTCTTAAAGAACTATAAAAGTAAATTGGATTCGTTTACGATTGGAAAAAAGAGACTGGCAAGATATTTGTAAGCGCGTTATACAGACTAAAGGCCATTACGCACGTCTGCAATTAACACTGATTATTATTCGAGGCTCGCGCTGCTCTATCGAAATTCGTTCTGTGCAGCTTCTTAGCCGATAGCTGCCGCTTAAAATGCATAGCATCTCCTGACCCAACGATACCGAAAGTGTTTCGGGAATGTGCATTACCGATACATCGAAAATTCACCGTTATCGAAATGCAAATAGAAACTTGCCGCTACGTTTCTCGCGTAAGCAAATCCCTTTCGATATCTCCTATCTCCAATTAAGTTACACGAATTACGCTATTTTTTCCCCACGTTTACCTTCACCGTGTTCCAAATTCATACAAGTTAAAGCTTCGGTAGCTCTAGCTGAAGTCGTAAAATATCTAGAAGCACTAACTCAAATAAATCGTAAATTTAAATTAAATAGCTACTCAAATTACCTAAATTAACAGTAGAACTACCAACCCAGTAAAAATGACTGGTCCCAGAATTTTCCTTTTTGCAATCACCGAACAGTTAACTCAAATAAATCGTAAATTTAAATTAAATAGCTACTCAAATTACCTAAATTAACAGTAGAATTACCAACCCAGTAAAAATGACTGGTCCCAGAATTTTCCTTTTTGCAATCACTGAACACGTACACCTGCTTTAAGAATAAAATTGGTATCAACTCGTATTAAGAAATAACTGTGATCAATATATTCACTCATACTCATCGCACCGCTGAAATTACTATAATCTGAACATTTTGATTCCATAAGAACAATTCTAACGCGTGTATGCACTTCTAGAGTAAATCAATTTTTAAAATCGAAATTTCGTTGCGAAAATATAAAAATTACATATTTCTGTGATTTTATTTTATAAATAAATAATACCGAATAACACTGTAGATTACCAGTGTCTCCTTGACACTGCTAATAGAATATAATAAATTAATTGTAATACAATTAGAGATAATGCACTGTCGTAAACACCATAGATCGTAATACCCTGTATTAGCAATTTTTTAAATAAATCTTCAAAAGAATATAGCCCGTGAAATTAAGAAATATTTAAAAAATCGGTCAGGAGTGAAAAATTGTTAATAAAGATGGGGAAGAATGATTGCAAATCTGTGAGTAACGGTCCAGATGGGCCCCCATCCCCCGAGCGCATTGGTAACAAAAGCCTGGCGATAATTTCTACCGGTTCAAGTGGAAACAAAGCGCGAAGTCAAAGCAGAAGAGTGGATACCGCCTTTTGACCGCGTGTTCGGATTCGATACTGTCAATCGTGATCCTTCCCTTTGAACTCTCTTGGCTCCGCCTCAGTTCGTCATCGGTTCGTGCGTGGAGAGCATCGTCGAGATTTCGAGTGGCAATAGAGCAACGAATAACCACGACTCCACGTTTCTCCAGTTTACATCGCAGACAATGAGAATTTGCAAAACGATCGGCAACATGTAAGGATCATCGTCACACTGCTCTTTGTCTCGCGTCCAAACCGTCGTTCCGTGGACGTCAATTGGAAATCGTTATTCGCCCCGATTCGAGTAAAGTTCGTGTCATTGTTTAACACGGAATCTGTGCTTGACCAGGTATCTCGTGTTGTCATTCTTGGTTACCAGTGCTCGATATCGTTCATTTCACGCGTCCCATTGTCGATCTGCGAAATTTCTAACAAAGACTTCTGTCGAGAAACTTCCACGACACGTGAGAATTCGTTATTTGTCGCGTAGTTTACGAAAATGTGCTTCACTCTAATGGAGAAAATAATTGTTCCCGATTTTATCCGATCCTACTCAATTTTGCTCGATTCTATGAAGTAACTTATTTCTTTATTTCTCGCCGTTGATCGTATCGCGATGTCGTGTCGCCGCGAAGTGCTCGAACCTTCCATGGAAACACTGTGCGTGACAACTAATGCGCAATTCCAGTTACCGGAACAAAGATGAGGTTCTTGCACGAAGAGGAAGCGCGAGAAAAGACCAACCGATGTACACCTGCACCGGTTGCAAATACGAAAGTAATCGGTACTTCAATATGGAACGTCACAAACATAGGATCCATTCGAAGCAGAAGTTGCACATCTGTTGTGGTAATTATACATTTGTCGAAGTAATTCGAATAAGTAGCCTTTGACACGGTTTTCGGTCGCATCTCTCGCTAACAAAAGGAGCATAATTACTCGCACATGATCTCTCGTATTTTTACATATCTGAGAGCAATTTTCATTTTTTCGTAGCGTCATTTGACCCTTTGCACTCGAGAGGCTCCCTTCAGTCCCTTTGGTATTAATTAATATGTCAAATTTAGGCTAATGTAACGGTGTGCGAGATATCGTAATAAAATAATTCTACGTGTCAATTATTATACTATTCCTTGTTTACTGCTCTATAAAATGTCGTCAACTTTATAGCAGAAAATCTTCGAACTCCTACATTTCTTTAGCCAAAAAATCGCCGAATACAAGGGGTTAAATTCCTGTAACTCGTTTATTTTTTTATTACGCAGTAATACTCGCATAGCGTGAAATATTATCCCCTTTTACCGTTAGCCTCAAGCGTGATTTATGCGCGCACAAAATGTCACCGCCATTTTGATGTGCAAGTTTCGTAAACGAACGTATAAAAATTGTACTATTTCTTCGTACTCGAAAAACACGAAATAACGTTAAATTCAATCATGCTCCTTTCGCTGCATTTAAATAACGTAGAAAGCTATTAAATATCGGAATTATTAAACGGATCTAAATGAACAAAATGTTACTTCTTTATTCATTTTCGTCATACTAGAATTATTATTACTCCGTTCACTATGTCCAGACATCCTGTGCACCAGATACCTACAGAATCTGTTAATTAATAACTCCAAATGAAGAGCAATTTAATTACAGCAATATTTCGAGATTAATTGATAATCTGATGATATATAAATGAGCCTACCACAAAAAAATTAACATTGACAGTGAAAGAGTTAATACTAGAGTCATCGCCGAGACCCAATACTCAACTGGATAAATACAACAACGATATATTTTGCTTAGATAAAATGGCGGAACCACCGCAGAAAATCAAGAGATCTGTTTAACAAATACAGAGACTCCGTCTCTAATTTCCAAGATCGTCTCTACTATCTCTCAACGCTGTAAACAAACCGACCGATCTCTAGCCTCGCGTAGCAATGCCACGCGTTGTTTGTTGTTTACGAGATAAAACCGCCACCCGTACTTCTGGAGCATTATTCAATAACAACCTCGATATTCCGATGTCGGTATCGTTCGCGAGATTTCACCACGTGCACCCCAGCTGGTCCTTCATCATCCAGCTCGCGCACCCCGACCGATTTATCGCTCGAAACCGTAAACAAGATCGTTCCTTTCTTACCCCGACAGGTGAGAGCTTCTACACCAAGGGTGCCTATTACGTGCATTGCGAGCGATCGCACCCCGAGACGAGACTGCACGCGATCGTGTCGAAGCACAAGTACAAAATCACCGGCGACCTGGTACCGTTCGATCACAGAGAGTCTGGGCCCAGCCGCGAGGAACAGGCCGACAACCTGTGCAGGATGCAACTGAGATCGGAATCCTCGGTACACGGGAAGAATCGCGTAAAACAGCTGAAGACGAAAGTCAGCTTGGAGTACTCGCTGAGTTACAACGAGGTCGACATCGAGAACATTCCTCTGATGAGTTTCCTTACCGATCATCGGCTCATGTCTCGTTTCGAGAGATCCTGCTCCAAAGAGAGTGTAGAGAAGGCAGAAGACGAGCAGGGGAAACAGGAGACGAATAGGACGGTGACGATCGCGATCTCGTCGGAGCAGGAAATCCAAAAGACGACGATGTCCACGAATGACGCGGTGAACGTTCGGACGAAAGTTTCCAACTCGTCGGTGTCTTCGATTTCGCTGGAATTGCCGTTGAAGAAGCTGATTTTGCACCGGTTCAGGTCGAGCGTGCACGAATTCGAGGTCCCTTTGCGGGAAAAAAATGCCGACAACGATGGCAGCCGGGCGAATTTGACGCAGGAATTGGTCAAAGAGATGGTACCGACTGTGAAGCAGAGATGGCTGAGGAAACCGAAGCGACTCGTCACTGGTCAAGATAAAGAGAATGTATCCGAGTTCGCGTTCAATCTGCAGAAGCAGTTGAACATCAAGTTGGACACGGGGATCGAGGTGCCCGTGGTGTCGCAAGTGCATCGAGATTTCTTGGGATCCATCAATTTCGACGAGTTTAAAATTTGTTGAATTCGAAGAGAGCAGAGAAAATGAAAGGTAAATATCTATTGATCGTTATCGAGATCTTTTAATCCTTTGCACTCGACGATTTTCTGGCTAGAGAAGAGTAGAAAATCAAAGATTCTCTACTAAAAAGCTGAGGATACTTTTTTGAGCAGTAAATAAAGAATTGTATAATAATAGAAATAGAAATCAAATAATTGTAGAATTGTTTGATTTCGATACCTCGCACACTGTTACATTACATTAAATTTGATATATTAATTAATATAGATCTTATATCGATGTATAATAGAAATAGAAATAAAAAGTTGTATAATAATAGAAATAGAAATCAAATAATTGTACAATTATTTGATTTCGATACCTTGCACACTGTTACATTACATTAAATTTGATATATTAATTAATATCGATCTCCCAATTTTTATAAAATGGTAGCTGGTCACCTCTCGAGTGCAAAGGGTTAATATTCGATATTCTATTTAAAGGTTGGAAGTTTTAACCACTCGAGTGTCAGCAAAATACAAATTTGATCAAAAAATATTTTTTTCTTTCGTGAATTGATGAGATAGGCTCCTTTGAGAGAAGTAAAAATGGAGCACTAGTTGTTTCTAAAAATGAAAATTATTTGCTGGGCACTTGAGACATCAACCCTTTCGCTGTTTAATAAAATTAGACTATTCGATCAGAAAAATGTTCTAATTTTATTGTGACGAGATGACAAATAATTCTAATCAAATTATACTAGCAAAACAGCGAAATAAATAAATTTAATCCTTTGCACACCGAATTATTTTTCAATTTGGTTACCAATAGCTCCCTACTATTTTAAAAAATTTTGTTTACTCGTTATATTAAATATAGATTCAAGTAATTCAAGTAGATACTTATTTTCTGTTTTCTTGTTCGGGAAATAAGGAATCAAAGAATGTCGAGTGTAACTCGACATAGGAGTGCAAAGGATTAATAATAAATAAAATTATTAAATATCTACTTATTATTTATTATTGTCATTAAATTATTCGATTATCGTATATTTTGATCATTCGCGAAATTATTAAATTATTATTTTTATTTTCCAGGTGTCCTAAGGACAAGAATAATTTATTTTCATACCAAAGAGTGATAGAGCAAAGTAAATGCTGAAACGAATGTGATACGATACATATTTGATAAGAAATAATAAGTCCTAGTGTTACCGGGATATTTAAAATAAATCTTCATATATATTTATATTACTTGTTTATTTTCGTAATAAACGCGTGTCTTTCGGATAGAACCTATCCCCGAATGATTCAACTTTGTCCCGCGGTTGTTATTTTAATAAAGTGCACTTTAAGACTGAAATTATGCAGCGAAATGCTTGTCTTGCATAAACCCACACACCTGGTTCTCCCTCATCCTCGAACGTTCTGCCTCCGGGAGTACGTCACTTTCTCAACGCGTCAGCATTTTGTTTAATACCACCCATTTTAAACTCTTTATAGCTAGCGAGCAAACGAAGTTTCGAAACTCCCCTTTGAACACCGGCTCTTGGAAAAACGTTTCATCGTCGAGCTCGTAATGCAGATTCATTTGCATGCTGGATTCCATTTTTGCGGTGTACTTCGCCAATTCGGTTCACGGACTCGCGCGGAATTTTCTTGCCCGACGAACCGCATTCGGTGAATAAAAATTCTGCATCAAAATCCAAGGTGCTTGTTAGAATATCGAATTTGTAACAATTACCTCATCGTTCTAACTAAATTGGGAATATACGCTGGCAAGAATAAAAGAAATATTGCGAATCTTTTCCAATTTGCAATCGTTAAGATTGAACTTATATACAATCATTGTTTCAAAAATGTTGAGCTATGTTCTCGATTTTTGAAAGGGGTTATTTATTAATTTTTCCTATTTTTCTTTCACTCGAATAAGAATTTTGTATCGTTCCCAGTTTTATCACTAGTTTAATACTAGGTTTACGGACTCTGTCTGTATACCTATTTCTAAGGACACCTGTCAAATTGACAGGTAAAGGAAACCACGTGCCCTTTTTTTTAACGATTAGTTTAATTTAAACACAATTATATATTATATTAACAGTCTTAATATAAGTTAACTAAATCTGTTACCATCGTATAATTGGAGCAACCCTTCTGTCAAATTCACGGGTTTCGCAAAATCTAGTGTTAAACTAGTGGTAAAACTGGGAACGATACAAAATTCTTATTCGATGCATTTTCTCACAGATTTCTCACAAATACGAGTAAAACAAAAATAGGGAAATTAATAAATAACCCTTTCAAAAATCGAGAACATACCTCAAAATTTTTTAAACAAAGACTGTATATAAGTTTGTATATAATCTTAAAGATTGGATTAAAAATTCTTAATCAAAGATTGTATATAATCCTAAAAATTGGAAATAAGAAAAGATTCGCAATATTTTTTTTATTCTTGTCAGTGTATATTCCCAATTTAGTTAGTTAGAACGATGAGGTAATTGTTATAAATTCGATATTCTAACAAAATTGTATTTAAATTCTTTTTGCTAAATTTGTATAATATATTATTATAGTTATATTGTAATAATGTTGTATAGTTAGCAAATAATTGCCTGTATATTCGCTGAGTAAATAAATAAGGAAAAAGTTAGTAAGAAATTTGTATAGACTGTCGAAGATTTGGAGTTATTTTTAATTGGAGTGAAAGCCCGCCAGATGGCAGTACTGTGCCGAAGGTCTCTCCTTGTTGGTTAGTCAGATCATTGATCTGATATTGATTTTTTCTCTGCCTAGAGAATGTAAGGATGACGTAAATCGGTACACAGAAAACACGTTTAAGAAATTTCGTAATAAATGTTAAGTATATTCATACTTAACGATAAAAAAGTCTGCATAAAAGGCACTACAATATTCCTCTCCTATTCTTTAACTACGCTTACACCATTTTCTAAATAATAGAAAAGGAAAAATTAGAAAACAACCAAAGTAAGAATTCCAATTCATAAGTTATTATCAATTTTCGATGATTTATAGAATTCCGAGAAATTTTGCAAAATTAAATAAACGCAATTCGGTCGTGTCCGACATTTCTCGCGATGAAATTAAACTTTCTGCCAATTGATTACCGGTTAAATCGCGAAATGAACGAGAAAGTAATCCGCTGTTGAAGCAATGCGACATAACGTGCAACGAAATTTCCCGAAACTTCGGAAATACGCATTCACGAGGCTAGACATAGTTGCATAAACAACACTTTCCAATTCTCCCGGATGCTGGTACCCAGGACGTAACAAGCGTTTCGCGAATGGTCCAGTCAGATTTTCATTAGACTTTCCAGGGGAATTTCACGGGAAATCGGATTAACCAATTTTAGTTTCAACGAGGATACAAGAGATTTTAATTAGCAGTAGGGTCAGATATGACGGATCGCGAATTCGCTTGCACCGTGTATCGAATTGTTCATCCGCGATCCGCAGGAAGTTCGAACTCCGTTAGCGATCTAAAATAGCGAGGAAAAAATTACCTCGAACGGCGCGAAATTGTTCCAAGTTTAGACAATTTCGCAGCGTGCAATTTCGCTGGAAAATTTCCGCGAAAAGCTATGTTTCGTTTCTCTGTGTCTCTATTGTTGCGTGGATATCGCGTGTCTCTTGTTCATCGGTATCGATACTCTTATTTGATATCTAGCTCTTCCGATCAGTATAGTCGAAGAAAAATGGATTCCCCCTGTCCTCCTCGTTGCGTAAGATCGCGGAACGAAGACAAAGACAATTTACGTTAAATGGAATTTAACAAAGACGTGACGCAATGTCCAAAATCCAGACACATGGGAATCCCAATGCACTCGCTAATTATTTGCTTGTTGAGTATCTAACGAACCGTGACTACTCATTGTCCGGTTCGTTAACACCCCGATCTCACGTACACCCTTGCTGTCGCTGGCTCACGGATGGAACGAGATAATTACTCGGTCCAATTGTACCGTGCATGACATTCTACCTGTACTATGCAAAATAACATGCTTCGTGTCAGAGATGCGCTATTTCCTTATCGATAATCGCGAAGATCGAGAAATTGTACAGGAGCGTTTATTATTAACTATAAATTTTGTTGACGAGAAATAAAGACGGATTTAGATTTCTGTCTTTGAAAGTGAGTCATAGGTGAGTCATCCGCAGTGAACTATGCGAAGGTAGTTTTCATTTGCATTTCGGTGAAGAAAAGACACGTGTAAATACTAGTTTTTCGTTGATTTAGTGTAGTAGTGATATACTACTCGTAGATTGACATTAATTGATTTTATTAAAATGTTTAGGTAGATTTTGAGGACCTAGGGGACTCGGGTTAAAATTAAAGAAAGCTTCTTGTCTTAGATTCTTCACATTGTCTTGTATTCTTCGCACATCGATCTCTTACTTTGGCAAGAGTCTTTTAGGAACTAAGCTTCGACGATTCCACATGCGTGGAATCTTTTCTCTGTTAATGCTTCTCGATCTCGATCGTTATGAGACGATCAAGAGCCATCGCGAGCATAAAGCTACCATTATTCGTCTTTCCTTTTTATTTATTTTATGTATTTCTTTTTATCCAACTTTCAGTCGTTGCTGATGCACATCCAATTGTGAATTTGTCTTAATATTAAACGTACCACGATCTAAACGAGCTTTTTCAAAATTTTGATTAAAAATTTCTTATTCAACGTTATCATTTTACGTTCGCGATTTCGCAATTTTGCAATTTTTCTTCGAATATGCATGTAATTTATTTTCCAACATTTTCTCTTTCGCATTTATTTTTAAGGATCTTCTTTTAGTGTTTTATTTATCAATCATTCGGTGGTACGTTTAGTATTAATTTTAATTCGCTAATCGTCTGGAGATCTATCGATCTTGATCAATACAACGCGCTTCGAAAAGTTTCTTCATGGATCTTTTTATTTGTGTCAATACTTCCCACAAATTTCCAAGTCTATCTCACACTTCTTTTTCTTTTCTAACCCCTGAAATATTTTCCTGCAAT